AGTAACCGCCGCCGCCGCCGCTCTGCCACCAACGGCTCAAACCGGTGGCGGCAGCAGGGGCGAAGGGCGCAGTGACGGTTGAGCAGGAAACGGCAGCGTGACTGGCCGCGAGCGCCGGGGAGAGTAATCGAGCGGAGAAAGCCAGACGATGCGCAACACGGCATGCGGCTGTGCCTGCCCCAAGGCAAGTTTTGTAGCTATATTAATCAACAGTGCTTCAGAACTGATTGTAGCCGTTAAGTGAGGCCAAATAGAGGTCGCCTTAAAATCGATACAATTAGAATGCATTAGGAGCAAAACGGAAGTGCGCACCAGGATCGGGCATATCAGTGAAACATATAATAGTGGACTTTGACGTGAACGACAGACACAGCGTTCCATGTCCGCCCGGCCGTTGTGATGCACGCGCGGGCCGCATCGTGGCCGAACAGTTGAGTGGGGAAATGAAGAAGAACAGTTGTATGTCGGCAGCTGCCGGATCGGACGCCACTTGCGCGTTGTTGGCAATTCAGTATACTGATGGCCATTGCTTGCATTAGGGCTGGGGTTGGTGGATCCCGGCGGCGAGTTCGTTGCGCACATTGCATTGGGACGGTCCGCGGAGATCGAACCCGCCGACAAATCGGCTTTCCCGACAACTTCGGGGCGCGCGACCGAAAGTTTGCCGAACAACGCCGCCGCCGTTGCCACGGCGCCACGCTCGCCTCCAGCCAGCAGTGGACATCTGGAGCTTCAAGAGCGCTTACCTCGTGCCACGAATTATTTAAAAGGCCTGCGACACTGGCGCTATTGTAAAGAAATGTATGTATATAGTGTTTCAATCATTAACACTTTCAAATTGGCCCACAAAAGAATTACCCTCGATTATTTCTTCTATGCAGCGTCAATTCCCGCCTGGAAGCCCTATGTCACGCAAATGCGACACCGGTCCTTTATATTACTTTTACTTTTGTCACGTAGCAGTACCGTTTCCCCGCCGCTACGTCACAAGATATATATATATATATATATATATATATATATATATATATATATATATATATATATATAACTGTAGGGTACATATTTTAAAATCTAAAGTAATAAATTATTTTAATTAAAATGCAATCTTCGGTTTGGCAAGATTCAAAGAATTTATAGTTTTATTTTTATGTATAGTCTATAATAAACATGGAATACTTTTTGGGGGGAGTTAATTTGAGTGTTATAATTAAGACTCTAAAACTATTTTAAATATGACCTTATTAATTTATGCCCTTACGCAATACTGAAAATATAATACTTAATATGACTTTAAAAAATAGTTTTGATATAAACGAGACCTCCGGTCAATGAGGTCCTTGAAAACAGCAACTTGGCAAACAGCACTTGATGTCGGCAGCTTCGTTTTCGTTGATTGCGTTAACCTCTTCGATAGCGTTTTAATTGGTACAGAAGTAGTTCGCGGCGTTATGCCTCGTGCCTCAAAGTGTAATGATGGGTTGGGGAAGCAATGTCATCAAAGGAACCATTTCCTCAAATTTTAGCACTCGTAATGGAGCTTTGATGAATATTTTCTTTACTGCAGAAATTAACTTACCTACATGAAGATGATTTCCACGGTTTTCTTCCGAATGTACAATGCGTGTTACATTTATCATTTTAGGGTAGAGTAGCTGCAAAACTTGCCAGCTTTCATCATGTAAGGGGCTGCATCAGTGTCTGAAAGTAGAACATTTTCCCTCTTCACTCTTTCAGGCCGCAATAGATTCATTGCAAACTCAGTAACAGCCGTTGTTGAGTTAGTTGT